TAAAATCCCATTTCTGTCCCTACAAAATGTTCCCCATTTTGACAGCAGGCCTACATCCACAAAGGAGTATACGTAGGGCCCTGTTTATGGGTCTCCTCTAACCTATCCCTACCTCACTTTACCATGTTTAACGTTAGGGCCTACCTTGCTCTCTTGATAAGTTGGTTGATCAGGCCTAATCCATCGAGGAGTAACATGAATAAGAACTGTCTTTTCCAACTTTTTTGAGCAAGGTTGGTACGATTTTGTTTTGCACGTTATTTTCTACCACGTCTGCATGCACAGTTCAGGTCCCAAATCTACAACTGTGTAGGCCTTGGGCCTAAGCTAAGTTATGTTAGTAAAAATCTTGCCCGTTTTAATACGCACATGCCTACCGTAGTACCGTCTGTGCGATTTTACGCTGTCAACTCTAACTTGACTATTGTCGATGACTGCACTGCGAAGCATGCGAGGTGCGAGCACGAACAAAAATAATGTTCCTGCCGTTGCTGATTGCAACTGCCTTAAGTTACAGTGACCGTCGGGGAGTTGTGAACTCACCTGAAAACCCTCGACCGGCTTCATACCATGCACGACCTCAACTAATTCTTGCTGAATCACTAGTGTTTACCTGGTAATTTACATATAAATGTCGAAGAGGCTTGACAAGTCATATGCCATACTTGGTGTCATATTAATATTAACCAATAAATTGTAGTCGCTATTCTTCCGTCAGCGTAGCCTCAACAACGCATGTAACCCATGCTACAGACATGCGTGTAAGGCTTCAGAGGACATTATTGTAGGAGTCCAAATTTTACACTACACGCTGAAGACTTAAGTAAACGATGCCCAGACCGCAAGCGGCACATGTACCATATATCGGACATAGCGTTTTGATATCACTGCCGACAGGGGTCTGTCCAAGCTGTACACCAGTAAATTAATAGAGCGCCCTCTCTAGGTTTATTTTTTTATTTATTCTGATATCCGAAAGCGTAGATCCGCCACTTACAGGTATCACCGAAAACAAAACAAAACAAAACAAAAAACAACTACTAATAAAAACTGACTTGCGGATAAAAAAGGACAAATCCAACTTACTTGGAAATAAATAAATAATTGTATAAACATAAACTTGAGTAAATACGTACATTTAAGTTAAGTTAATTCAGTGTAAACTGGCTAAACCTGTTTGTACATAGGTTTTTTTACCAAATAGAAAAAAATATTACAAAGAAATGTAGTGGAATAGATACACCTCTAGGCATTTTGCTTTTTTTCAAGTTATTAAATAACCAATTTAGAACTGAGTTAAAAACAGACAAAAAGGTAAGATATCCCCGGATCCTCCTTGTATGGAGGTCTTAAGTTGGACATCACGCGCCCACTGAAAACAGTACAAAGTCGGACAGAAATAGCGCCGCCTTGTGACTCTCAGGAACAGGTTGGCCGCTCGTGTTTCATTGGAAACTTAAGATGATAACCACATGTTCAGTTTTCTTTTCATTTTCATGAGGTTAGCCACGCGATTTCATTTTTTTATCAGCCCTTTCCCGAAAATACCCTAAAATATTAGTCAAACTATGCGCTCAGGTCTGAATCTACCTGCCCGTCTCTCGGCCTACGCAAAATAAACCCACAAAGTTGGATGTTTTATGAACGAATACCCCGAACTGTTGGTAGCCACAATTCCCGTAATCGTGATTTACAGAAAGATATATATGATCGATCCCAATTGTTACATCTCTTACTGTACACAACCCGTAGAAACCTAGCGATTTAGTGGAATGCAGTCCTATAGGGTGCGTCAATTGATCTGCCAAACGTAATAAAATCTTCAGCGTTTACTTTCTTCTATCAGTGCTTCCGCTGATGAGTTCACTCTTGACACGGGGCAGGACGTCCCGTACAATTTTTTTTAATTATCTTTTCAGATCAAATTGAATTCGTAATATCTGGTGACAACCCAGACCCCCCTCACCAATAAGGCTGCGTAAGCTGCGACCCTGCCCCCGGTCCTTACATGACAGCCTGGATCCATCCACGTTAGGCCTATTCTGGACGCTCCGGCCGGCTCCAATTTTTTGTGTGGATTGTCACTGTGTCGCGGGAGGTCAACGCTTCAAAACTTCACAAAATATTGGTTCCCAAACACACGTGCGTCACTTTGAGCGAAAAAACTGACGTGAAAGGTTAAAAACAGTGAATAATGAAGTTATTAAAAAAAGATTTAAAAAGAGGACGTGAATTTGCTTGTTTATGTGCTGACGTTAATTTGTTCCAACCCAGGGTTAAGATACTGAAACGTGCGTTGGCAGCATTTGTTCTTGGGACTACTTGTCTTAAAAAACTGTGCCAGGGACAGTGATTGGGCTCTTGTGACAATCACAGCGCCCTCCCAGGCTATCATGGGACACTAAGGAAGCAATATCTTGACACCATCTTTCTGCATTTTTAAAGTCTCCTTGAAATTCAGTAATTTTTTTTTAGTCGAAAGCCATGTCCCCAAATTTTGACAAGTGAACAGTTAAATAACATTACAGATAAACTGCGTCTTGCCATTTAGTACCAAGGCGCTACTGCACTAGTTGCAGGCGGACGACAGCTTGAGTTTACGCGCGGGTTTACTGCTGCTGTGAGATCGTGATTTTATATCGTCAGAAAGTCTTTCCAGTTTTCACCAATAGTTTCCCTCACTTTTCCACCAGAACATGTATCTGCCCTTCTTATTATTGCCGTCTGTCTTTGTAACTTTATGTAGTACCTCTGACGCACCGTGGTGAGAGGTACACATGACAGAATTTTCGGGTAAGTTAACTTGTTTTCAGATGGGCCTTGTCGCAATGATCTGTGGCCAGTCTTGAATCTATGGTCACTACACGACCTACAACAGCGCTGTATCGAGAGTCTAACCAGTGTCACAGTTTCGAAGAACCTTGGACGAGCAGTGTGTTGGTATGTGGTTAAACAGTGTTTAACCGGAATATGTTGGCTGGGCATCGCCGTTCTTTCCCTTTTGACATTATTCTTGGTAAGAATGTATCAGTTTCATTCGCATTTTGGCGTTTGGTTCTAAAGGCAGACCTGTAGGCTGTAGGCGTTGCGCGTTTTTGACTGCCCTTCGGGTGTTCATGTACGAGATTTGATGTGCAGAAAAATGAATGTATGTGCCTCCGTTTCGTTGTTTATAAAATGCATGGCCTAGGTCCCAAACTGCTTATTTACAGCGTAGTGTTTTAGGTACAATATAGGCCTACCTTGCATCAATAAAACACAAGATCAACTTTCAGAGATTTTTTTTTTAATCACCTGGATCTCTGCTGCTTTGGGGAGAAGCATTTTGTATACAAGTAATAGGCCCTAGTTGTTTTCATTAGGCATAATTCTTGGAAGCAGTCCATGCAAAGTTTCATTTGCTTTCAAAAAAATATATAGAAATTTTGAATAGTGTAACTCTTGTATGCAGTAACTGCCTCAGCACCAAGTTTTTCTTGTTGACATTGTATGGGCTCAGCACTGAACTATGCTATGAATCCATACTTCCATGTACTGTGCTTGTTCAACATTTGTGCATGCAGACTTATTTTGTATATTTTTGGGACCCAAAAACCAAAGGCAATGCTTTCTTTATTGCTCTGACCTTATGTTTTGGAAATTTCAAATTGTAAATTGTGAGAAATGTGACTTTCTTACTGATAAACCAGCCATGCAAATTTGAATCCACGATGTGTCATGTGTTAAAACACTCACAGTTTCCCCTCATAATTTCCCGCGAAACTCAAAACCCCGTTCTCTTTTCACAACATCGATCCTACAGTTACTGAGCATGATGCCGTAGACATCTATGACAAGGTGAATCCAAAAGTTAAAATGTAGGTCTCCCTTCTATTACAGGAACATTTGTGAAGTTCCCTTTCACATTACTCAGCGAAAGGTTTTAAACCATACTATCACAATGACAAATAAAACTGGTCTTGCTATATGAGACCAGGCATTGCACACTTTACTTAGAAATCCAGCTACTCCAAATCACAGTTGCTGTTGTTCATCACCATTCATGTGTAAGTGCCTTTTCAGTGGAAAATGCATAAATTGATGAGTAAAGTAGTGCATATCAAATGGAAACTAAGGTGAATAACAAATAAATATTTCTACATATATTCATTCAAGGCTATGTGCTTTTAGTCTACTAGATGATGGTTGGAGTTTACCAAAAATTAAATTAAATGTGTCAAAGGCAAATACGGTGACAAATAAAGGTGTCAGGTATGCTTTTATTCTGAACTACACTTCAGATGGCTGTCCTTGGTTGATGTAGTTGGCAGTGAGGGTACTAAGAGCTCTCCACACCTGGACAACCCTCGTGTTTTAATTTCTTCCATAGGATCTGATCGAAATTATAAAAGAAGGGAAAAAACATGCATTGCAACTTGCTATGTGGACTTTGCTCGGTGTCCTTGCTTCAAATGCCCTCTGAGTGTTTACTGAAGAGGTTGGTGTTTACTGGGGGAAGTGGATGGTTGCTGGGAAGTGGAAACAAGGCTTCACACTTTCCCCCTTCACTTTGCAAAATCTGATGAATGCTGCAAATAACATAAAAATTAACAATTCTCCCTTCGTTTCCAAATTGCATCAAAATTCGCACAGTGAATGTTTTAACACAATAGAAGCGTATGAATACTATAAAACTGCATTTTACTCCTGGTAAGACCTAAAATAGATTGGAAATTGGGAAGAATATTGTGCCTACTGTAGGTTGAATGTGGGGCGGTAAAGGTGGAACAGCCTTATGTGGGACTTTTTTTTTAATTTCTAAAATTAACACAAATATGTAGAAATTCGTGGAATTATTTGAATTGGCTTGAATTTTTCTGTTCATTCAACTCATTCAACTGAAAGGGCAGTTTATATTTTGCTGTGTAACATAGCTTTGGTTGAGTCTTAGGGCAATTCCACTGAAAGTCTCATCTCTAAACATCCGTTCCCAAGTATTGGTTTACTGGGTCACTGGTCCATTATAAAAAACACTTGTTAGTAGCAGCCAAGGGCTGCATGAAAGAAACATTTTAGAGAAATTAAATGAACATTCTGTGTAATGGATTTCTGAGAACTTGAGGACTGTGATTTGCCCGACCACTGCACCAGTGGCACAACTGAATATGTTACTTGCACAATGTAGGTTGCTGGTCAGTACACATCAGCGTCAGCATATTCATCATGGTATTTGGTTTTCATGGCGACTGGATTTTGTATACGGACTGTTCTAGGTTCTGAACATATTCTTCTTAAAATGCAAATATTTACTGACTGTTGTAAATTCCATGCATTTGTCCTCAGTGGGTACACATATTTGTGTAGCCTACTATCCAGCCTTTAAAATTACAAAGTACCTTTAACTTATTCAAGATCCAAGCCATCAATTCTGTTGTCTTGTTTCAATGTGAACAATTATTCTGTACATAGTAAACAAAATTGATTACATTGTCCTGTTGTGGGTGATTCTGTTTTTTAGTGTGAGCATATCTCTGTGATGTGTTAGAGGTTCTTTCTCCATGATCACATCAAGCAGGTTGGAGTCTTTTTTTTTCATTGTAGTTTTGCTTGAAACCCCACCCTAACAATAACCTCTGAAGCTACTTTTGGTAAGAAATCTTTTCCAGCCTGCAAATCCTCAAATGTAGATCTAGTGGCACATTCTTCGATCTTCAAGGGGCATTATCGTGCCTTGCGCCATGTAACAGTGACTACTCAATTTCTGCCCAAACCTTTTTTAAAGTTCTTGCAAGGGTGTCAGTTTTCAGGCAAAACCTTATTGTTGGCTTTTCGTGTAAAATGTTAGACCGATTTCCGGCCTTAAC